AATGAAATCGAGCATGCACATTTGATTTTTAAGTCCCAACAACAACAACAACATACCCAGTATTATCCCACACCGTAGGGTCTGAGGAGGGTAGTGTGTACGCAGACCTTACCCCTACGCAGACATAATGATGTTGAGGAATTTATGGTTCCTAGAGAAATAGAACGCGCGGAAAAATAATTAATCCTAAAACTAAGGAACATACCAATCTGCAACTCACACCAATGACAACAGCTTGCGACGTTACAGACTGCATTGCATCTAGCAAGCTATAGAGTAATCGCTGTTTACCCTGCAAATTGCAAAGACATCCAATCCTGAGAATTTGACATATTTTCTCATATTTTTCTTCACTACATGAGAATCTTACCTGTGTAAAAAGGTCAAACTCATCCAACACAAAGATAACGGTTTTATGTGCCAACCCGCACTCCCTGATAAGAAATTACAGTAGAATGAGCACATCCACCAGGAGAAGAAAAAACGAGTACACGTTTTATTTGAAGATTACCTAATTTAAACATTCATTTTTCAAAAGGAAAAGAACCAAGTTTAAACATTCTCAGGCACTTCGAAAAAAGCCTATTCTCTTTCGGCAATAAAGCAAAGAAGGAAATTACAGGCCATATAGACTCACCTTAACATGGATAATACAAACTGGGAGTTATCATCAAATGATGCCTGTTAAAGGAAATACACGATGACTGGTTGATGCTTTTGGTTAAAATATAAAATGGATATCATAACCAGAATGGACACAGTACCATTTTTGAGAACATCAAGTGATGCTCCATACATAATTGCCTTGCAATCTCCTGCAAGATGAAATAGAAGGATACAAATATCAACGACAACATTATGGACAAATATCTAACAAGGACAAAGATGTAACACTTTGTTCAAAGGGGTCAAAAAATTTTGGAAGATAAAATAGTTAAACCAGAAGTAGAAAAAGATGCAGGTGAACCCTGATATTACTTGTGTACTTCATATTTGAATATTCTGGTAATATTAAAAAAATAAAGAGAATTTTCTATGACACCCTACATATTCCATTTGAAACTAACTCTTGCTCAATCAATTTTTAGCTATCAATTTGTAAGGAATACAAATGAAGTATCAATTTAAGCACGAAAGTTTCAACTGATTATGGTTTCTCTTACTTAATAGTTGACCCTTTTATTGAACTTGATTATTCTCTTATAAACTCAGAAACTGCATTCTGCTCAACCATTCTGCTGCCATATAGTCTTCGCTTGTAACTGAGAATCAAGAAATTTTATTGTTCCCATATCTCCATTTGACAATAAAAATAATTCTGATCCCCATTAACCTTTATATATAAATGCACAATGACATATGAAATAAAGACAGTACAACAAGCATAACAGGTAACAATGTGCACTCGTTCTGAAAAAAATTCTAAAGAAGAAATTGGGGTGATTTGGCACTCTCTTCCTTTTTTTTGTCGAGATGGATGCACTTTCTCATCCTTTCTTCTTTCCAAACATAGAACTCATTGTTAAATTCATTAAGAAGCCTTTAGTTGCAGGTTTCCTTTAGAAAAATGATTTAGATTACTTTGATGGGTTAGTTTCAAACACAAAATTACCACTTGCTGCCAATGGAGTACGGTTACTGCTCCTAAGGAGTGAAAAAAGATCTCCATAGTCTTACTCTTGGTACACAATACTATCGTTATGAAGGAGGGAATAATATGATCAACCAAGACTTGTTAAGTTTTAATACCATCTTTGTTCAGAATGTAACTGTGCCTGACGAGTTGAGTCAAAATACAGTATGCTACTGTCTTGGGGGAAAAGCTTCAGAAAACAGACAAGTGCTGTTCCCTGCTATTGGGTGAAAGGAGGCTAGCTTGCTGAGCTTGAATAATTTCTTGCAGTTCCCTTTGATCCTGGAGGAGTTAGAACTTCTAGTCCATATTTCACCTTAACAAGGGTGATCTCAACCGGAAGGAACTGATACAGGTAAAAATTGGCAATAAACTCAAAGGATATATGAGCTGAAGGTTGGTTTAGAACAAGGCATGGAAGTAGCTGAGAATACGAACATGAGCTGCAAACTTAACATGATTTAGAAGTCAGAATGTAGCTGCAAGAAGCTAAGTTAGAAGTTAGTTACAACACCTGTTAGAGTCAATAAACAGTTCGATTAGTTATTTGAAGTCCAGAAAAGTCAGTAGGAGTTTTAGCTGCATTTGCACACATGTCAGCTCTCAAGGTTAACTTCCAATTTGTCCACTAATAGCATTGTATATTTTAATCAGATCAGTGAATGAAGAACTAAATTTCTTTTCTTAGTTACAATTCTATCCTCTAAGTTGGACTTCTAGTTTTAGACCGCTGAACCAACATTCCCCTTCTCGACCTGCCATAGCTCGTCTAGTCCTACCTGTATTTTTTATGTTCAAGCTTGTGCTTTGTAACACAACAACATAAACAAGACTTTTTGTTATACAACAACTATTACTACTATACCCCTCAACCCCAAACAAGTTGGGGTCAACTATATGAATCCTCACTGATCATATTTCCTATTTTAAATTTGTTATACAACTTATATTGAGCAGAAATCCAACCTGTACCAAAAAACAATTAGCTAAAAAAAGGGAATTTGTATACACACCTTCAAAGCACAATTGTCGTCACTGTGCAAGAGTCCATTCAATTTAACCTGTAATCAAAATAGCGATTAATTACAATAAAACCATAAGTCTAGTGAGACTTATTTTCCTATAGAAGTATGTCACTGCCAATTTTCACACAAGAATGCAAGATACAAAAATTGAAGATATAATACAGATAATTAATTAAATTAAATATATACCACACAGATCATATCAGGATATTCTTGCAGTAAATCCTTGATAACCAGCTCCAAAATCTGACATAAATAATAATCAAGAAAATTTAATATCAAATCAAGTTTACATTTTTATCAAATTTCACAGCACAAAAACTACACTTTGTACAAAAGATCAACCAAAAGAATAAAAAAAGTCTACTGACCGGAACTTTTCCACAACCACGAGGGCCAAGAAGAAGAACTGAGTTGTTACATGCTTCAGTTACTGAACTTGACATTATATACTTCAATTTGCTGAAACAAATAAGAGCTAAACGCAATTAAACACAAAGGGTCTTCAATAGATTATTATAAAACTACTTTGGCCAATTCTGATTTCAAGAAAATGAAATAATGTTCAATTTTGAGTGGGAAAAAAATTGAAAAATTAGAACAAAAATGGAAACTTTTAACCTGTAATTGCTATTTGGGGAATCAAAGAAAAAGGTGAAGAGCTAAATGCAACTACATATAAAAGGTATTCAATAAATTCTTGAAAAAACAAAAAATAACGAAAAAATTATATTCAATTTGGAGTAGAAATCTTGAAAAAATGAGAATAAAAATGAAAACTTTTTGTACCTGTAATTGCTACCAGGGGAATCAGAGAAAATGGTGAAGATGAAATTGGGATTGTAGAGTCTGGTTCTGAGCAGAACCTGAGCTTGCTCTGCTGGATTTTCAACGCCCATTTTGATGGAATTTTTACAAAGAGAATTTGGGAGAGAAAGTTGTGGAGAAGTAAACTTGGCGGGAATGAGGGTAGTGAGAGTGAAGGAAGCTGTGGGAGAGTTGGACTGGGCCTGGGCCTTTTGTCAAGAAAAGGGCCAAAATTAGTAAGAAATCTCGTAAAAATAGCCAGTTTTTGAACTGGTAATTGAAAAATAGCCAGTGTTTGCAAAGTTATTGAAAAATAGCACTATTTTGCTGCAACACGGAAAGTTCCAGCATAATATGTTGGAGATTGGTGCACTTGTGTATGAACTTCCAGCATATTATGCTGAAATTCCAACACGCAGAAAGTTCCAACATAATATACTGGAGATTGGAGCACCTGTGTACGAACTTCCAGCATATTATGTTGGACCGATATATTATACTGGAACTCCATTATATAATATTGGAACTCCAATATATTATGCTGGAAGTTCACATGTAAAAAATTCGATCTCCAGTATATTATGCTGGAATATTTACTGGATTTTGAACAATGTTTTCGTTCAGAATTATCTTTACATGAAAAGTGGCTAAATTTCGATTACTTTTGAAATTTTGACTATTTNTATATATATATATATATAAGATCTAAATATATATTTTTTTAATATATTTGTCTAGCAAATATAATTACTTTATCCGATAAGCTAAAAATGTTAAAAACCTTTTTTTTTCAATCGAGTACCCCCCACTAGTTATGCATGAAAATAATTCAGGTGTTTTAATATAGAGATTAGTAATACAGGAATTGTAATATAGAAGTTAAAATGCATAATTGTAATATAGAGATTAAAAAGTATTTTGTAAACTTAAAAATTATTTAATACATAAGGATTGTTTTGGTTTGTAATATTTTCGAGACAAACTAAAATTTGACTCAGGCAGCTAGACTGCTAGAGGCAATTATCCTATATATTACTTTAATTTTTTATAAAAATAATTTAATTTTTAATTTTATTTTGGTGCAATTTTTTTTTTGGAGCAAATTAAAATGGATTCGAAGGAGTTTTATTAACTATAAATATGGGTTATTATCACCAAAAATATGAGTTATTATCACTTTTAACCCGCGCCAGAAATTATTTATATATGATAGCCAAAAAAGTATATAAAATTTGTATAATTTTTATATATAATATATATGATGATATACATATACAAAAAATATATAAATTTTATAATATATTTTTTCGGCTATTTTACGACTACATAGTGTCATTTTTCCTATAAATATTTAAAGAATACAGTGAAAATATTTGTGAATGTACCAAAACACGTGAACACTATTTTTCTTGAAATAAGAAAATACAATCCCCCTTTTGAAGCACATTTTCAGAATGCGCACGTTAGAGAATATACAAATCTACCACTAGAGTACGCCAGGATCTAAAGATATTCTTTTAGCAAAGACAAGTGAGAACCAATCATCCCCTCAGCTTATTCAAAGACCCTTTCCACCATTTTCTTCTGTACAAAACCACACGCAAAACAAAACCAAATCAGAAAATAAAAGATGGGAAGTTCAAGTGCTCTCATCTCAAATCTACACCTAACTCAAACTCACTGTTTCAAATGCATAAATTCAAGAACTGCTCTAAATATTAACTCCAAAAGACCAAAATTAAATCTTTCTAGCAGAAAAGACTTGAAGAAGTTCAGTAGACTTGTTTGCTCAGCTGTTGAAGATGCTAAAGAAAAGCAAAGAGAAATTAATGGTGCAAATACTAGTAATCTTGGTTCAGCTGTTGAAGATAGGCCTGGTAAGAAAAAGAAAAAAAAGAATTACCCAAATAATTATTTTATGTAAAAGATTGCATTTTTTTATTGTTTTCTTGAATTTTTGATATGGGTATTTTGTATAAAGGTGTAATTTTTAGTTGAGTTGGTTCTTTAGCTAAGTTATATTATTGGTGCAAATGCTAATAGTCTTGGTTCAGTTGTTGAAGTTAGACCTGGTAAGAAATACACATATAATTCTTGATCCTAAAAAAGAAAATACCCAGATGATTATTATGTAAAATATTGAACTATTAATAGTTTTCCTGAATTTCTGATATGGTATTTTATATAAAGGTGTAATCTTTAGCTAAATTATGTTATGTTTCTTTGTTGCTGGAAGTGATTTCTATAAGGGCTTGTTTTATGGATTTCTGTTGTTATGTTTAATTATTCTTATGTAGCATAGAGAGGATTGCTCTGATTGGTAAGACTATAACATGGTTATTTTGGAGAAATTTGGGTTCTGGGGTACTCTAAGCAAGAGTAGAATTTGGCATATGTTTGTATTTTTTTAGTTTATCCTGCCGATAATTTCACTAGTTATCTGTGATTGATAATTGTAACTTGTAAGTTGTACTAGAGGAGCTTTGAGGTAATTTGAGCTAGAGTTTTTGCATATAATATAACACCAAGATCTCGTTTGCTGATAGTATATGGAAATCTTCACGACTTCCCTGTTAACTTTATTAACCTTGAAACTTTTAATCCATTTCGCGTCTATGTAAAATTCAGCATCCTGCTTAATGTTTTCCATCACTATCAAGAATAGGAAAGGAGAAAGAGGATTTTTGGTCTCAAACCTCTAGAGGTTCTGAGAGTTACTTCAGCTATGTTTTTTTCCTTTTCTTTTCTTTCTTGATAAGAAAGATCGGCACTTTTAATATGTACTGCCCAGCATAAAGAAAGTGCTGGATGCGTAGTTACAGATTGCAAAAATTCGATTCATTACAGCGTTTGTAATGAGCTGAGGAAGCCTGACATGGTTTCTGCTGCATCATCAGTTATGTTAAATCAGAAGGCTAGAAAAGGCATTTGTAGTCTAATTAAGTTTTCCTTTTTCCCTTCAAATTGTTTCTTTCTACCCCACAGTCCACCGAATAGCTCCAGGGATAGTCGTCCATATATTGTAGTCCACGTGAGCACTTGAGGGGTCATTCCCCATATTAGGGTTAACTAGATTGCTGATAATAATACACACTTCTGTTTGTGATTGACTGCAACGCGATGCACCTTTTAAGTTACTGAAATTGCTCGCCCTTGCCCAAGGGTCAATAATTTGTGAGTATGCATATTTTTTATTTCTTTTCTAGAAAATGTGAGAAAAATGCACATGTTCTTTGTCATTTATATAAAAGATTATCTTTTTAATCGTTTTCGAGAAGTAAATTTCCTTAATATAGTAATATGCATATATGCATGTTATACATTTTGGAAAAGAGAAAAGTGTTATGATGTGCCAAAGTGATAATGGTGCATAGGAGGAAAAAGAGGATCAAATTGAACTGTCTAATGGTATTTGTTGAAAACAATATCTTACCCTTCTCCTTCTAATCTGCACAAAATTGTTCGCGTACTAGTTTATTTCCTTATACATACTTTGCCTATTTTGTGGTTGTACAATTGTTTTTGCAATATTCAACACCTCTATGATGCAACTCTCCAGAACAACACCCTTATTGTACATAAAATGGCTCCTTTCTTTCATTATATTTCTTCATTGTGCTGTGAGCCGGTGATTGTCCCATGAATGCAAAATAGTTTAAGTGTAATTTTATCGTAATAACGCATGCTATTTTTGAAATTCAGATGTTGCTGATGGCTCAAGCGAGAGTGTATTTAAGAATGGTGAATCAGATAGTGAAGGGAGTATTGTTTATGATTTCCTTTACCCTAGTAAAGAGCTCCTACCTGATGATAAAGAAATGACTCTATTCGATCATTTGGAGGAGTTGCGTCAGAGACTCTTTGTGTCTGTTTTGGCCGTTGGTGCTGCTATAGTGGGATGTTTTGCCTTCTCAAAAGAACTTATCTTGATTCTTGAAGCCCCTGTTCTAGCACAAGGTGTTCGATTTTTGCAACTAGGTCCAGGAGAGTTCTTTTTCACTACTTTAAAGGTTAGACTGCATCTTTAATTTAATCGTCTTTATCACTCATTCCAGTGACCATTTAATTACTACAGAAAAGTTGTTGAACTTTATTTCGTGAACTAGGTGGATCTTTCTTTTGTGCTCGAGTTCTTTTTAAGGGTTAAAAGTTTGTTCTTATGCCTGATATCTGGCTCATTATCGTGATTATATGCTGAAATATACATTCCTCTATGATTGAATGACATAATTTCTATTTAGGCCATTATAGAATAATTGTTTTTGAGAATGGTAACATATTATTTAATCGTAGCACAAAGGCTGTGCTAAGGCCATATATACATATATCAAAAAGAGCAAAAACCCTTCGATAACGAGTACCTTACCACTTATAGATTGTAAAAGTTCAATCGCCCTTGCTTGTTACACGCCTTAACATTTAAAGAAACCAGCAAGTAATCAAACCCACATCTGGAATTCTGGATCCACTTGCCTTAAACTAATCCTTGTCTTAAAGTTTCATCTTCAAAATCATGTATGAGTCAAACAAGTGGTTGGAGTATTAAGTTGGCATTCTGATTCTTAACTGTATAATGTGTTCATAATTGGCGTATCCTAAAAATGTGCTTATAATTGTTTGCGAGGGACTTGTCCTTGAATAATTGTTTACAAGCTATATTTGTTCATGCGACTTCTAGTATACAGCTGGTGATATAGTGCTAAATGCTTAACTAAAATAATTTAAAAAGTTCAAACATAAGATTAGAGGTGATCACGATGTCATGCTGTTCGTGTTGTTGGGATCAATTTGATATTGGCATTATACTAATTTGGCATGTTCAGTTTAGTAACTATACTGTTCTCACTTTTGATGTAGGTCTCAGGATATAGTGGCCTTCTGTTAGGAGCTCCCGTGATTCTCTACGAGATCATAGCCTTTGTTCTTCCTGGTTTAACAATGTCAGAAAGAAGATTCCTGGCACCAATTGTCCTTGGATCTTCAGTGCTTTTCTACGCCGGCATTGTTTTCTCACACTTGGTTCTCACTCCAGCAGCCTTGAATTTCTTTGTGAATTATGCAGAAGGGGCTGTGGAATCCTTTTGGTCCATTGATCAATACTTCGAATTTGTGCTCGTACTCATGTTCAGTACAGGATTGTCTTTCCAGGTAAATCTCTTGCTTGTGCATATTTTCTTTTCTGCACGAGTATATAAGAACACCCTGCATATTAAACAGTTTTTTTTGTTTTCCGGTCAAAAACATATTAAACAGTTTAGTTGAAGGAAATTAGTTGTTCAATCTAGAGCTTCTCAAACCTTCGGCCATACTTCACTACAACTAATGCTTGCATAAAACCAAGTTGGCCATAATTGAGCAATGTTTTTGGGTTGAAAATAGAAGGGAGTATTAGAATTTTTAAGGGTGTGGCTTACCAGTCAATGAAATGAGTGCAAACCACGTGAGATCGTGATTCAAATCACAGTAGACACAAAAAGCGCTAGACGTTTCTTCTCATCTACCTAAACCAGTGTTGTGAAGAGCGTGAAGCGAGGAAAAGCGACAACCCCAATTTCACGAAAAGCGAGAAGCGAAGTACTCGCTTTTTTTAAGTGAAGCGGAATTTAAAAAAAAATTAAAATAAATACTGCATAGACAACACATGTAATTGTAAGCAAATGTTCAATACTTCAATTTAAAAAACTAAAGAGTAGCATCAATTAAAGCACAAAACGAGCATCCTATTCTTCTACAAGATTGTCAAATTCTTGTATTCCACTATTATTATTATATTGCTCGTCATCTTCTTCATCAACTAGGGACAATGTAGCTGCCTCTTTTCCCTTCCTCTGAATAAAGGATATAAAAATTGGGCAATAAGAACTAAGAATTGGGGGCAGAAACTGGAAAAATTGGGCAGAAATTTTCTGAGAAAGAACCGAAGGTAAAAAAAAAAAAAATCGCCAGCATTTCGCCGCTTTTTGGACGTTTAGAAAGAAAAAGAAAAAGAAGAAGACTGAAAATCAAAAGTAGAAGAAGAAGAAGAAGAAGACAGAACATACCTGTACTGTTGAAGTCTTGAAGAAGAAGAAGAAGAACCCTTGATGTTTTGAGATAATTTTAGAAATCCAAAGTTGATGAAGAAGAGAAGAAGAAATCGCTGTTCTTGTGGAAGAAAAGCCCTAGTCTCGCTGCTGTTGAAGACTCCAGACAGTAGGCTTGGGTTAATTTTAAACACAGAAGCGTACGCTTCTTCTCGCTATTTACAGAGAAGCGGTCGCTTTTTCGTACCAGAGTCGCTTCAAAGAGCAGAAGCGCTGCCCTTCCCGCCTCGCTTCGCTTCTCGCTTAAAGCGATGAAGCGAGCCCTTTTTTAATCACTGACCTAAACCTTGGTGGGCAAAGTTCCCGATTCATGTGTTGGTAGGAGGTAGCAGGTAGCAAGTGAAATAGTCGAAGTGCGCCTAAATTGGCCCAAACACCACCATTATGAAAAAAAGATGAGCGAGGATATTTAATGGTTAAACAGTCGAAAAATGGCCATGGTCTCCGTCATAGGCTAGTTTTGAAAATATTTGTGAATTCACTCTGTAAATACTATTGTATGATGTTGATCAGCATCCTCATGATATCCAAGTTGCTTTAATCCAATAAGCAATTTTATAATGCATCTCCTCTACAGGTTCCTGTCATTCAACTGCTTCTGGGACAAACTGGTCTTGTGTCGGGAGATCAAATGCTGTCGATTTGGAGATACGTGGTTGTAGGTGCTGTGGTCGCTGCTGCAGTGCTCACACCATCAACTGATCCTCTTACCCAAATGCTTCTAGCTGGCCCCCTTTTGGGTCTTTACTTGGGTGGTGCATGGATGGTTAAGCTTTCTGGTCGATAGAGTGATTGTTGTTCTGTGGTCAAAGCTTATGTTCTTTTGCATCAACATACCAAGAAGTATTAGTAGAATGATCATGCATATGGGAACCCAAAATTCATGTAGCATAAAAAGGACATTTGAGTGGAGGATATATGATCTGTTTTTTGAATACCATTTACTATTGTCATAATCCATGTAAAATTATCCAATGTGTATAATTAGGAGCTTAGTTGACACTCCATTCCCAAGTCATTTTGATGGATCTTTTCACTAATATATGAATGAAAAAAGTCATGGGCTATCGTTTTCATGTTATATATTCTTTCTGGCCACAGAAATGATGCAAAGGGTAACAAAATAGAGTTAAAACAATTCGTGAATGTCATAATCTTGTTTAGAACTTCTCATTGGTGTAACTTATCATTCAACTCTGGACAAACAGTTACACAAAATTCAACTAAAATGAAATTGTCTTGATCGTCGAATATCATTGAGAAAGAAATAGAAAGAAGTAATCGAACAATTTCCTATAATTCTTCACAGTATGGAATGAGTAATCGATCTACAACTCTATATTCATTTGATGGTTTAATAACTCTATATTCATTTAATGGCAAAAAACCAAGAACACATCCAACTAACTGTTAAAACTTTTTACTCCATACTCATAGCTACAAACTAAGAATCTCATTGAGAAGCATCTATTTCTCCTCCCCTTTCTCTTTCCCTTTTTACTAACATTACTCGATAACAAGGTTTTCCATCTTAGACATTGTATCAGTTGCATCTGAGTGATCTAATTCAGCTTCCAGCCGTTTCAATGAACTCCGCAAACCTGTGCATGCTTTAACAAAATCTTCTGAACACCCTTTAAGTTTTTCCAACTCGACCTGTGTTTCATCGATACTACTTGAGATCTTCTCTGTAGCAGCCCTCAATGCAGAAATTTCTTGTGGAGGATAAAGAGAAGCTCCAAGTTCATCAACTTGCAATCCGATTTCCTGAGAAAGTTTTAATAGTCTCTCCAGAGAGGCTACAAAAGTAGCATTATCCATGGAACTTTCCTGCTTAAGCAAGCTAGTAATGGAGCGAATGAGTTCTTTAATGACCACAAGTGTTTCAGACACCACATCAGTAGTTAACCGTGCAATTTTCATTTCCTCCGGAGAAAGATCATTGCCTAGATCACCACCAAATGAATCATCACTATCATCGGATTTGCTTTCTCCTTCGGGAGAATCTTGAACAGAAGACTCGTCTACTACATCAGATGATGTTGGCTTCAGTTCATTCATTTCACGAAGTACATCCTTCATGGAAACGGCAAGTTGTGTCATTGCTCGACCTATAGCAGTAATATTGGTGGCTGGAGTCTTCTTAAGAGCAGAACAAGCTTCCCATACAGTGCCCACCAATTGTGGGATCGATAATTTCTGTTTTCTATTGTCAGATCCTGTACATACATTTTGGGCAGCAAATAATAATGGTCACAAAATTATACAGCTGTTAAGAAAATCAATATGCAAGAACTAGATGCAGAAGATATATGTGATGAATGAACCTGAAAGGCAATATGCCACAACTAGAAGCGGAAGATAAATGTGATGAATGAAATTGAACAGCAGGAACTACAGCAAAATGATTAACTGAATAGCACAGAGAAAACCATATCAACTGAATAGGGTCCACTTGGTATGAAGCAACAGTGTTCTCGCAAAAAAGGTTTTCACCAGAAGATGTTTTATAAAAGAAGACAATTGCAAAAAATTTCCTACAGTATCTGGGAGAGACAAAATGTTGGTGATAGGTGACAATGATGGAGAGTAGGAGACGGGGAAATGGGCGGGCGATGTAGCATTTCGTGATAATCATAAAATAGAGTGAAGGATACGTAAAGATAATTGAAGTGGAAAATAATGAATCCCTTTGAAATTCAGTTATTTTCACTCCTCCGTACAAAATATTCTCCGGAGAACATTTCCATCACTTTTAGCCAACCAAAGACCGACAAGTGATTTCATGAAGGAACATATTTTATGTCTTTACAATCAGGGCCGCAATCTTAAGTTTCTATGTCTCAAACTATACAATATCCTGGATGAAATCATCTTACGCTGACAAGAGTTAAATAACTTGCATCCTTAGAGCTGTAAATCTATGCTTAAGCCTATAGGGTAGCACTTAATACTGTTGTTTTACTACTGTGTTCTACACATGGCACATCATTAACTTTCCTCCCCACTGTTCCAAAGAGAGTTTTGTACAAAAAATTAATTTCATCAGGATGTTTTATACCCTAACAACTGAAATGCCATCCACCTCTTTTACACGGTTTTGTGCCACTAGAAAACTTCTCAGTCTCTTCCTTTATCTTATTTTGGGAGGGTGGTATCGGCAGAAAGAGGTTTTTTCTTCCCCTTCAGCCTTTCTGCCATTTTACTTTTGCAAGATATACCATTATCTGATCTTCCTTCTGCCTCCCTTCCCCTATTGAGGACAAGATGCGGGAAGCGCGCTTAGGTGGTTTGGTCATGTGAGGAGGAGGAGCATAGACACCCCGGTGAGGAGGTGTGAGAGGTTGACACTCCTACGAAGAGGTAGAGGTAGGCCTAAGAAGAGGTGGGGAGAGGTGATTAGGCAAGACATGACGCAACTTCAGCTGACCGAAGACATGACCCTTGATAGGAAGGTATGGAGATCGAGGATTAGGGTAGTAGAGTAGGTAGTCTAGAATGTTCATAACAGTAGTATTGACACGCAATCTCGCTTTCTGTTGGTAGTAAGTTTTTATGACTAACCGTTGTTTTCTTTCATTGTTGATCACTTTACTGTCTTGTTGTTTTTATTCTGCTTTTATATGGCTTTTTGGTACTGTCTCTTCTTGTCTATATTTTCATTATTGCGGTGCTTATGCTTTCCTGGGCCGAGGGTCTATTGGAAACAACCTCTCTATCCTCACAAGGTAGGGGTAAGGTCTGCGTACACACTACCCTCCCCAAACTCCACGGTGTGGGATAATACTGGGTATGTTATTGTTGTTAATAAATGTTGATGTGCCACATATGCATAAACTAAGAAAAGATAAGCACTTTCATAAAGCAATATAATGGTATAAGCACTTTCACAAAGCAATATAATGATATAAGCACTTTCACAAAGCAATATAATGACTTCACCTTTTATCCATTTCAGATATTAACACTTCATAATATAATGTACTTGTAAGATTTTCATATGTTCTGATGTTCATGGACTTTTACATATATATGTAAAGAGAGAGAAGGAGAGTACCATATGAGGACACAGACTCTTTCATCAACATGAAACTGCTATCAACAACTTGCTTAATGGATGCATGAATGCTAGAAGACAGGGTAGGTCCTGCGCCCACTGTACTTGAGTGGGAGAGCAGAAGAAGCCCTTGCAACATATTAAAATATGAAGCCATGTTCTCCTCGAGTGCTTTAACCTCTGGTGTCTCTCCAGTCCAAAGCATTCCAACTGCATCAAAAGAAAAATAATTGTCAACTACCAACATTATCTCCAATGTAAATGCCTGAAACTTACTATTATCCAGTTAGTCAAAATTGGACACCCCTCCCACCCCACCCCAACCTCCAAATCCTGTGAATGTATATCTATGAATTTCTATGGAAGAAAGACCACAGAAGCTATATACTTCAGTTTTTAGATTTAATCAGGCAAATTCACCAATTCTCAGCCAACCACAAGTCCAAGTTGCCAAAGAACTTTCATAGGATAGGGTACATGACAAAAAGTTGATGAACATTCTTTTAAACTGGGACAGTGCAAAGCTTGTATCGTGCCTCAATCCGAAAAGACCCTTCTCTATCATTAGCAGAACATATGACATTCATTTAAATGTATAAGTGAGACATGTAAGTGTCTCTCATCCCAGACAAAAGGTGACCTAAGCATTTAAAGATGATACTTTTGTTTAATCACATTTAAGCATTTAAATATCTAAGTCACACCATTCTTCTTGTAGTATAGGTTTCTGATAACCAAATCAATGTTTACTTCCTCTTTTATGGATAGTCTCTATTAGCTTAACTACAACATATAACTGCTGATGCTTCACTATCAAACATAAACACACAACATCGAATTAACAATGACTGTAGAAACAGATAATGTCCATGCCTAGCATTGTAAAACAAAGACTTATCCTTCTCTCTCTCTACATATATATATATATATATATATATA